ACAAAGATGACTACCCAAATTACGGTTGTCGCAAGAGTTAGTTTGCCTCTTGAATTTAGATCGTACTAATTATATCACGAAGGTTAGGAGGTCTGCGATAGGCTATGAACGGTGTATCCGGAAAAACAGACCTAAGACGTTCTGTGGTCTCTAGAATGGGCATATGTTTCTGAATTATAGCCCTTAGTGGTAATAACCTAGGGTGATAGGTAGTGACCAGTGGCACTCTGGTCGATCGTTGACGTGGTTTGTACGTCAGTGTTTGAGCACGAGGTATGTCCTTTGCTTTTTTTATATAGCATTTTCAATAGGTCCTTGATGATAATTTCTATTCCGGAGATGTCCGGATAGTTCTTCTGTTCGATTCTGAAAATCTAAATCCGAAGAACAAATGCGTCTCATGCGCAATGCTTGGCTGTACGGAATGTTTTTTGTACAGTGCGGGGGGTGACAGCTGCTAGGGAGCAGGTACATATGCTTATCCGTGGGTTTACGGAAGAGATCAGTTTTAAGTGCACCATTTTCCATGGTCACGGTGATGTCCAAAAAATCTACACTGCTTGTGGATTTGTTAGCAGTGAATTTGATTGTGGGATGAGCCCAATTAATGTTGAATAGGAACGTATCCAAACTATCTTCACCATGGGTCCAGATCATGAAGATATCATCAATGTAACGAAACCGAACATCTGGTTTCTTGGGCTGTAGGGACAGGAAATTGGCCTCAAATTGTCCCATAAATAAGTTAGCAAAAGATGGAGCCATTTTGGTGCCCATCGCTGTGCCATGAATTTGAAGGTAATGACCGTCGCCGAAAACAAAGTTATTATTGGTCAGAATCAGCATGATAAGTTCACGGAGATGTGATTTAGATGGGGTTTTGCCCCGAATTTGCTTGTAATTTGAAATGCACGCATTGACATCTTCTTCATGAGGGATATTAGTATATAATGACGAAACATCAAGTGTAGCCAGAACAACATTATTAGGTAAATTTGAAATTTGGTTAATTTTGCGGATAAAGTCCGTGGAGTCCTGAATGTACGAGGGGAGAGCAACAACATATGGTCTCAATAAATCATCCACATATTCAGAGATTTTTTCTGTAGCAGTACAGTTGCCCAAAATAATGGGTCTGCCAGGATGGCCTGCTTTGTGGATTTTGGGTAGGACATAGAAACGTCCTGGTGCCGGATCGACCTGGATGAGATGGGGTCCAATTTTGGGATCAATGGAACCTTTTTTAACCATCTTTAATACAGATTTTTCCACTTCCTTAGAAATTTCCGGAGTGGGGTCCTCTGTGAGCTT